TAATATTTTTCTTTAATAAAGCCAACAAAAATTACATTAATTAATTTTTACCTGTATGGCTGGTACGTTGAATCACAAATAAAATAGCCTCTACGTTGCAACTGAATCACTTCACCTTTTTTTAAGTCTTTCAATTCTGAATCACCTAACATTTGTAGTTCCCAACGACTATTTTCTATATTTAAGTATTGCTTGAAATCTTCATCTTTGGCTAATACTGCTTTACTTATTAAATGATCAAAATAAACACAAACGACTGGTATCAGAATAGGCAAAACTTGGTCAGAATCTGAATAATCAGTTTTTGGTAGCCACGTAACTTTCACTGTAGATTTGAAATCTGTGTTTTCAAGGTCAGAGACTGCATAAATTCTCTCTATTTTATTATCATTTTGGTTTCTAAAGGAGYAAATATGCAAAAAAATTATTCATATATTGTTATGATTTTTWATCAATAAGTATTACCTTTCWATGCGGTTTATCAAAAGATTACCCCAATTAATAAATGTTGCTCGACGTCCAGCTTCTAATAACTCTGCATCAYTGTAATCTATAAGAATTTTAGGTCCAGCCCAGACACAATTTTTTAATCCTAATTGAGAATTTTTAGGATGTTTAGGGACATTGTTAATTTTATATGGTTTTTCAACATTCTCTACCACAACTTCAACTGGTGGATAAGATAATACTGCATTGTCTTTATTTGAATTAGATAATAACAAAGCAGTATGCCTTGGTGCTATTGAATCAACAATACTGCGGTTTAATGACCAAATTTTATCCCATTGCATAGCTGTAACAGTTCTGGAAGATCCTTGGGCAACTATAAATTGTTTCAATGCTTCCACCTGCATTCCTCTCCTTAATACACCACGAACAGTTGGCATACGTGGATCATCCCTTGAATGAAAAATTATATTTTATTAAATTATATTATATAATTCTATACTATGTAATTTATTAAAGTAGATATATTTATTAATTTTACTAACCATCCATCAACATAGCCTTGCTCAACAAACCAAGTCAACTTTCTTTTCGACAGAACAGTATTAGTCATATTTAATCTTGAATACGACCACACATAAGGTCTGGTTTCATTGCTGCGAGTACCAAGTTTTAATGCATCACAAAACCAATAATATTGTGCATCACGATCAGTATACTCTGTGGTACGCAAACAATGAGTWACACCTTCAAGACTATCCACAATAGGACAAGCAAAGTCATAAGTTGGATATACCCTGAAAGAAATTCATACGAATAAATATTTATTAATCGTATAAATAATTTTTAAATTATATAAATAAATAATATGTTCCTTACTTATATTTATCACTGGTTCTTGGATGGGGTTCAGGTTTGCAACGATATATTGTAGGATCYCGTAAACATCCATTTGCTGATTGCATATCAATTTTTGCCCGAACACAACACTTTTGACCGATTTCTGAACCTAAAACCATTTGTTTCCACAGTTCTAGGTTCTTTTCAATTGCTGAAATGAGAGTAAATTAATTTAAAAAATTTCATGATATAAATTTAATATATTGAACTATATAATATATGTCTTCT